CATGCTTTGAACATTTTCTTGTATAGTCGTGTCCAATCTTTTCTCCGTTCCGGGTTCACATTGTATGTTGACGATCGTTTGGATATGTTAAATCGCATCTGCATGTAACTTGTAAGTATAAAAACATTAAAAAGGTAAAGACGTTGCGGCCGATTCGGGCGACAATACTGCAATGTTCACTGTTCAGACCCGGACCCGGAAGTAGTAGTCGACGAGTGTCGTTGACGTTTTCACAGCAGTCGGCTGGAATTCGGAAGTCTCATTGCGGAAGTCTACACACATATATAAATATAATGCTTTTCCGCGGCGGAACTCTGAACATGACACCCTTACCGAAGTATATATAAATGATATAGTTACGCAGGGAAAACAATAAANGGAAGTCTCATTGCGGAAGTCTACACACATATATAAATATAATGCTTTTCCGCGGCGGAACTCTGAACATGACACCCTTACCGAAGTATATATAAATGATATAGTTACGCAGGGAAAACAATAAATTATAATAATATTAGATTTAGCTCATGTCAAGATAGATTTAAGATTTTAAATTCGTAGCAAACGGAACAATGCCGATTGAGCATTAAAAAGATGTTATAATCTCCCTAATAAATGTTTTAATTAATTTTATTGTGTATTAATTATAATTTTAAACTCTAATGCAAAATATACCATGTAATACAAATTATATTATGTAAATTGTAGGTAAAACAATATTTGTATCTTAAATATAAAGTTGGATTAGTTTAAAATGTTGTCTAATAATATGTCGTGTTACTGAAAATAGATTTAAATCCATGTGAGTTGAAAAAACTTATTTTTGCTTTAAATAATATTTAAATACAATACATCATAATAGAGTTTCATAAACTTATTGTGAAATTTTACATTTTGAACATAATATGATTATTAGAGTTGGAAGATTATGATATATTTTAGGAATATTTCTAAATGTACGAGATAAAAATAATATAAGCGCATACATATTATTATTATATAATAATATACACGTAGAAAATGATACAATTTATACAAGGATTTTCAACACTGATTATACCATCCACGTAGATATAATAACTGCAGCACTCTGCAACCAGGAAATTAAGTTTAAACTTAGCCCATTTAAAGTTAAATTAAACTGACATTGGTTTGCAGAAATTATTGTAAGTTAAATTGCAAAGTATATTTTAAATAACGCTAGTGTTTATGCTTAAAATATATGTTATAAATTATATAATCAAAATAAAAGTAGGAACTTATTCTGTATAATATTATAATCTTCAGTCTTCTTAAAGTTTAGCCAACGAAGATTGTTAACTAATAGTTTATAAATGGCTTAGTATTTAATAATATTATTTTATGTCAAGTGCCATAATATAGTAATACGCCTGGAGCTATTTTTTTATCACAAATTCATTAAATCAGAATAAAATAAAGACGTTACAAAATTATTACGTTTATCGATTTTTAACTGTACTTACTGCGTGTCCACGTGCATTTGTTTTAAAAATATTACAATAAGCACATGTGTATTTTTTTATTGCTTTATTTTTTTGTGCGTAGTCAGTATTATGTGTATTAACACTTTGTTTTTCTGATGAAAGAAAATACAAAAAAGTTGTATATTGTATAGTCTCTCGTCCGTCAGTCCCACACAAGTACACAACAGAAATTGAGCTAAGTTACTACTTTGCAGAAAAAATTATTTTTGGATCTTTACAAGAAAACATCATTGATTTAATGCAAATTACGACACACTTATTCTTGCTGTTATAGATGCAGCGTATAATTTATCAACCAATACATTAATTATAATTATTTAATTAGAGGAATATTTCATTTTTCAAATTATTATAATTTATAAATAACAAAAAAGTTAAGACTTACTTATATATTATATTATTATCACATCACATCAATTAATTTAATATACAAGTATGAATAAACGTATCTATACAACTCTTGTTACTAGCCAAGATGTTTAATTACAGGCGTATAGTACTATTATAGCAGTGACGCAGTGTTGTCCTAAAATCATTGAAACATTCATCGTTTTATAATAAATAATACTTCTGAAAACATCTGAAAACAATAAAAGAAAAAAAAATGTGTTTGAGTATTGAAATAAACGAATATATTATATTTATATATGTTAGCAATAGTACCTACATTTTTTAAACACCAACAAGACAGTGTAATAATAGTGCAGTTGGTCTATGACTTAGACACTAATTATAATATTTTAAAAATTGTGTTTTAAATGTATTAAGACCGATATTTTGTTACAATCACATTATAATACGCATAATATCTGTTTTTAATATCACCAGTTATTACTACTGGTAATTTTTACAAGTATTTTTTTCTATAACATATGATAATATGAATAATGAATATACGATGTAGATAAAAATTACCTCGCCTAATAACCTTTGAACATTTATTTTCTTTTGATTCCATTTAATATTGATTGATATGAATGGAAAGGAACGATTTAAAAATAAATTTGTTTTACATAATAATGTTATCGTGTTATAAAAATGTAACACCCATAATAGATTAAAATATGATAATACTATACTTTACTAACAATAGGAATGTCTCTATAGGCAGGTAAATCATAATTCACCACATTATTATATATTATAACCTGGTAGTCTGTTCCGTAGGGCATTGACTTCCAATTAGTGTTTCTACAAACTTTTTAATGAGTTCCAGTGTTAATGGGATTAATATATCTATAAACTTATATTTTATTTTTCAGTAGGACCTACCTGTATAATAAATTTTAATTTGCCACAATAATGAATAAAATATTTGTATATAATAATCAACATTTTAATAAAATCCTTTGTAACTATACTATCTAGGTCATTGTGTATATTTTAGCCTCCTCCAAAAAATGTTTAACAATTTTGAACTATTTAAAGTATTTTAAACCATTGCATTGACTTTATTAACCATGAATTATTAATTTCGAAAACTGGATAAATAAGCAGTACCTACTTGCCTGTACAGGAAGTTTTCACGCATGTATGCTTGCATCAGTTCCGTCCATACGCTGATATTGAAGTTAGGACGAGTGTGTGTTTTCGTTTTAATTCAAAAATTAAACAGGTTCACTTAAACACTAAGACACTGATTGTGTTTAGATTGTTTAGAATGAAATTAATTTGCTGAAAAATCAAAGTTACTAAATGTCTTAGTATGATTGTCAAGTTACTTAAAAAATTATAACTTTTAAAGACTGTTCAAATACCTTCAGTTAATATAATCAATTGTTGAAATATAAGGTCTTTGCAGAAGTTAGATACATAGAAAAATGTTCTATGATAAATTGAATTATTATATTTTAATGAATCAAAAATATATTTCCAAATAAATTGGTTGATTATAGATTGGGAGTTTACTTACTACTTTTAAAAGTGGTTATTATAATAAATATACACATAGATATATACTAGATACACTAGTCGCTAATAGTTTTCTTCACATCTTGCTTGGTTATTTAATATTTGAAAAATGATCTAATTATAGTTTTTATAAAATAATGTACAATAGGTATATAATTATGGTTTTAACTGGATCAATTGCATGGTTCGTTTTAATATACTATATTATAATATTAAATTACACTTTATTGTTTTAATAGGTAGAGTTTAATATACAACAATATAAATATAGGTAAATCTACATATTAATAAAATATAAATTTTTTTTTTAAACCAATTAAAGAAACCAATTATACATTTAAAAGTTTCAAGTTTTTGATTCCATAAAAAAATAGATAATATTTTTAAATATAAAAATGATTTTGTTATTATAACATATTATTTATATTATTAAACAATTTAAAACTTATGTACCTAGTACTTTCTTATTACTCTTAGTATAATTTAATAAATTATGATAATAAATCGTATTATATTATGGTTTTGTTTTTAATTTTTTAGATTTTGATCTGAACGAAAGAATGTTTTATAAAATGTATGATGATAAAATGTACTAAAAAAACTATTAAGGTACCTACGTATGGATAAATTGTATTTTATTACGCATTTTGATTAACAATCAACAAAATAATGTATATAATGTGATGTGATTATATATTATATTTTTATTTGCAAATCCATAGTGATGATTTTGTTTGGATCCATATATGGTAAACTCAGAAAGTTTGCAACAATAACAGTAGTAGGATCTATCAATGAGCACCAATTAATCGACTTTCTATAGGTTTTATAAAATCCTACTATGAATTTCTTGGAAACTAGCAGATTAGAAAACGATACCGATCACAATTTTATGAAACAAATTTATTTTTTACCACTATTCGTTTATGGGTAAGACGACTTATATAAGTTGTACCTACCGAACAAACGTATATAATAATCATTTAGGCGTATTAAGGTATAGGACTATAGGAGGTACGTACCCATATACCCGTACTATAAATTCTTATATTTTTGCTAATTTCATAAACTGTTATTATTTCCTGTTGGCTGTATATGAAATTCAGTTTTGATTTTTTAGATCGTAATCGCCACATTACTATCAGCATAGAATTACAATTTAAAATAATTTACATTCATTTTTGTTTAAACTTTTTTTTTTCAATATGCTCTTTATTATGTTCAGAGAAAATGAATCGATTGAGAGTTTATATTGTATAAAAATATAAAACAAATCGGTAATGAAAATCAAACCCGCCGATCATGTTTACTTCCTGGTTCGTATGAGATAAGTGACTACCTATAATACGTATAATACGTGTATAAATTATAGTTTATAAAATGTAATTCGTAACCAATAATTAATTATGTTATATACTATTAACGATTGACCAATCAAATAATGTATGTGTCCGAAATGACCTTACTGAAACGGTTATCGCATTCCCACATATGTACGCAAAAACAACTCGTATAGGTACCAATTAATATATCAAATTAGTTAGACACCGCTCGTTTGGTCCGCGAAATGTTCTATATTGTAACGTCTAATATTATAAAACTATATTGATATAGTCTGCAGGTAGGTGGTAGGTGTTATGACGGACGACGACGTCCAAAATAATGTAGTTGTTTTAGTTAATTTCGTGTCGATGAACCAATGAAAGTCAACGATATCCGCGGTCCAAGAAAGTGCGTTGAACGTGTAAACGAATAAATATATCGTTAAACAATTTTTTTTTATACGCGACCAACTGTTGCTGCGGTGATAATCGTGGCGGCGATAGTCACGACGGACACAATGGGCAATGGCCATAATAATAATAATATAATAATAGGTATTCCGTACACAGCCTACAAAGTAGAATATAATATGGACACAATAAAAATCTATAACTATAAACTCCGCTTTTTCAGAAATTATAATCGCCGGCGGTTCGCCTTCGCTTTGTAATGCGTACGTGAATCACACTGTGTAGTCTGTTTTTATTACATAACACGCTTAAATACCTGGACAGTAGGTACCTATATAATAAACGCTAACACTATTCTGTGCATATACCTATGTAATATGTATAATATATTATTATGTATATTATAATATGTATACTAGTTTACGACATTCAACGGCGAGTTGAGACTTCCAGCACGCAGCAGAACGTTTGGAACCGGTGTTAATTAATTTAATATGTCGAATGCTATTGAACTCGATTTATTTTCCGCCCAGTCGATAGGCGTAGACAATATGCAACACAACTTACATTATTTTTTGACAATTTTAAAATATATTGTGTTAAAAAAAATTATTTCGATATTTTATTTCACATTACAATTTGTCATTATCATGATAGTATTATAATTGATTCACGTCTAGTCAGCACTGCGCGGTGCGCAGGTTGCTTGTTGTTTGTTTGAAAATAATAATAATAATATAATAATCATCTTATTACAGTATCATAATATTATAATCGCGTTTATAAAGAGAGGATGTCGGCGTACTATTTGTTTTCTCTCTCTGTCCAATGTGCAACATGACAGATTTGCATTCAGCAATCAGCAGAATCCATTTTGTGTTGTATCTATGAACTGATGTGTCATCAAAATTAAAATTCTAAACATTATATTTGTGTTTGTTTGTTAACTTTTAACGATATTATAGTTTTAGAATGATCGTATATAAAATTGAAATAGGTACCCCAAAAACATCAATGAAAGAACATGAAAAATGATTTTACCTAACTTAAGTCTTAAAGTCTGATAATTCACTCTAGTATTACAGCTAAGCAACTAACAATTCAAGATCGGTTGTATTGAAGGAGTATATTATTCCATTTGGCGTGTGTGTGTGGTTCAGAGAGAGAGAAAAAAATATGGTGCGCCGACATAATTTTAGAATTATTATTTTAGTAAAGGCTTAAAGTGTTTATAGGTATAGGTTTTTACTATAACCATACTCATATAGGTACCACAAACCTAATACAATCGGATACCTATTTAAAAAGTTAAAACAAATATAAATAAAATAAAATAGAAACGAATAAAAAAGTAAATAAACGTCTTACCTAATAAATATTATTATTCGGGTATTAATATTAGCTAAAATAATAATATAATATAGGTACCGGTACCACTGCACGCTTATAATACCCACCAATTTCTATTGTGAAAATCTAGTTATAAAGTAATATAATATTCATACACATTTAAACCAAATAGAATAAAACTATATTGTTAGTATTTGGTTAAACCTAATTGATATTCGATTAAAATCTGACTGTTATTGACTATTGTATAAAATAGATTAGTTCGTAAAACGATTGTTTAAACATAACAGTCACACATAGACCCGATACTGTGTTAATTGTTCGAAATGTTTTCTTATGGTTAATAGATTTTAATTTGTTAGTCAACTTCAATAAATAAACAGCCGTCGCCGTCGGTCTGATGTAAACATGCCAAAAAAAAAAACAGAGGGCATAAAGAATACCCATTGTAAACTAATATGTTATAGCATTATAAAACAACAGAACCGTTCATAAAATGTTTTCACAGTATAAAATACATAATTAATATTATATTAAAGTCAATATGGTATAAAAAGTGAGACCTATTTGATTACAAATTTTGATTTTTGTCGCATGAAAATCGTAAAATAATCCTAAACAGGTATGTGTATGATGATGATAGGAACATGGATAGAGGTAATCATAAGATATTATCGTTTAAGTTCATACTATATACAATTATAATCTATACAGTGTATACATTACAGCCGTGAACCGATTACTAGAAACTACGAGTTAATAATAATATGAAATAGTACATTAATAGTTGATACATACAAATATAATGTTATATTATAATTAAACATACTAATACATTTACTTCAACCCGACAGGTAGTTACCTCATTAATGTATAATTGGAAAAGAAATTTAATTTTAATTTTAAGCATTTTGTTGAATGTTATGAATTATTTTAATCGCATGAATCAAAATATGACATGACGTACATAGAATTTAAATCATTGATGCTATTATTTTGGGTATTGTAATTGCAATTTGTATTTTATTATTATTTTATTCAACTAAAAAAAAAATACTTAATATACAACAGACATATAAAGTAAAAAGAACAAGTGCATTAAATTTAAGATTTATTTGATATTTCCATGCACTGATTGTCATTTTCCTTTCATTACAGTCATAACTCATAAGTATATTATATTTACAGCTCATGAATTATGCCCAGGTTTCGCTAATGTTCAAGCTTGTCCCGGTCAATCAACACAGTCGTCGAACTATAAAATCAAAACCTATTCATGAATCATGATCAATTGAGCCGAATAAATTATTATTTGATTGTAAGGGTTTTTCCTATCATTTGCTCCTAATAATTACATCGATTGTATACAAACGTTGACTTTTTACGTAACAAGTGATATTAATATATATTATTCAGGATCAAGGTGATTCTGTTGAAGGTAAACATTAATTTTATAAAAAGTATCAACGTTTTTGCAAATACATTTTTTTTATTGTTTTCAAATACATTACAACTTCTACCAAATCCAAAATTGTACAATACAATTAATGTATTTATTACAATGTACTTACCTGTTAATCTGGCTGTTATGTCTTTTAATTTGGCACAGCTAAAAATTATTAGTATTTGCTTATTTTTCGTCCCTCTCCCGCCAATTAGCCCTACTACTCTTAGAACGAGTAAAAGTCAAAACTATCGAAAAGTTTTAAATATACCAACTGTATTAATACATGGTGATACTGGTGACCTTTTTTCCTTCAAAATTATTCAAATTTGATCTTTAGAATTTTTTTAAAACTGTAATTAAAGACCAAATCTTCAAATTCTTACGATTTTTTGTTCTACTAAAAAAAATGTTTTATGGAGATATATACTTTTGTTTTTCAAATCAGAATTCACTTTTTATACTATATATTATTTAGAGGTTATTTTTTCCGACAATTTTAAAGTATCAGAATCAAATTTCGATCGATTAGTTTTTAAGTTATTTAACTTATGTACCTGCTACAGTTTACTAAGAAAACTGTATCCATAATAATGTGATTGTGAAGACATCGGGGTTATAATAATTTGAACATTTTAGTGATTAATATTAATCCACCAACATTCATACTTTGTAAAAATAATGAACCAAGTAAAATATGTATACAAGATCCAATAGTAAGTACCTACATCTCATTCTACTTTATATTTTCGTAAAACCATGACTGAGAAACAATGAAATCGCGTATATTTTGAAATAGGTGGGAACATCGACAATATTACAAACATTTTATTATTATCCACTAAATAAAGTTTACAGTAAAAAAAGAAGATTCTCATATTTTTCAAAACACTTGTTTGTAACTTCACAGGACATTCTTAAAGTAATACAAAAAATCTCAATAATTAGAAAATAAAATGCGGTCTTTAAGTATATACTATTGTAGAATTCCAAAAATCTATACGTTTGAATGACGCTGCATTGTCGAAGAAACTGCAGAGGATTGCTTACGCTCGGTGAATCGCCCTGTATATTCCGTAATAATGTCATGTAAATGGAGACTCGAGTGACGAGCTGTCTGTGAACCGTGATGCGCTATCTCTGCTCGCATCCATATGGTGTACAGTTTTTGTAATAGTAATATAAACACAAATCACAATGCACGTATAAACCGCAGATAGTTTGGACAGTTCACACGGGCGTCGAGGTTTTTTTTCTTACCCGGTCGAATCTGCGGATATAATATTATAATATTATAGCCGTATACCAAGTCCGTGTGAACAAAAACACTAATTCTACTCTCGCTGTACATTCGTTCGTCGGCGGTTGTCGACCACATGCGTCATCTTCGAGGTGTACGCGATTTGTTTTATGGTTTTCTTTTGTGTCAATATTTATTCAGCGTTTGGTTTAGTATATTAGATACCATACTTTTTATGTAATTATATAGGTAACGGCCGTTGATTGTACTAGAGCGAGACAATATTACATGATGGGCACTTTAGTGTGAACAACATAGTATTGTTTATTATATTAGGTTCATTTGCACTTGGCTGTACACTACAAATAACAATATAAAAATATCCTTCCACCCTGAGATATTATAATATTTATTATTTATCTTAAGATTGTGATTTTTTGTCGAAAGAAAAATATAATATAAAATATAACGATTTAACTGCAACCAGGAGCAGTGATAGTCTTCGTGCGCCTAAATAGCAAGCCTGGGCATGAACGAATTAATAAGTTAAACTAAAGTTAATTTTTAACTCAGCTGATTTTTGTTGATGTAAACTTAATAAATAACTAGTTACTTTAAATTAAATCCAAATTCGTTAGTTTATAAATGATTAAATAATAAATAAAATGGAATAATTATTGATGATTCGTCATATTGCACAAACATTTACTTTTTATTATTTTAAACCATATAATTGACTAAATTCATGTAATAATAAAAAAAATTAATTAATTAACTCAAGTTACTTGGTTAATTGTAAGTTTCAATATAACTTTTAACTTAACTAAGTTGAAAAAAATTAGACCCCTAATTAACTTTAAACTTTTTAAAATGTTTTCTATCAACTATTAACTTAACTCAATTAAAAATTATCATCAATACTTTCCCAGGCTTGCTAAATAGTATAATATACAAATCAGTAATCACCATCATTATGTACCCATAAAAGTCGTCGTAATTTGTTACGATTTCCATAAGTTTTTATATTGATATTCATGAAACAGGATCCATGGCTTTATAATTATTTGTATTCAATATTTTTCCTTTACCATTATTTAAGTATTTTATATCGTTGTTATCGTACCAATATATAATACTAATAAGAGTATAATAAACCACTTTACATTTTCACTAATAAAATTAAAGTTAAATAACTTTATTAGTTCAAGAACGTGATGGATATAATAATATGACATGACAAAATCGAATATAATAATAGCGGTATTATGTGACAAGAAATAAAAATCACTGTATTTTTCAATATAAATATAGATATTTAAGTTTTATCAATTAATGTATTTTAAATCACAACAAAATAACCAAAATATATTTTAAAGGTAAATCGATATTTTTCGTTTAAAAAAATTTCGTCAACACTTCATCAAAGCTCCTATACCTATATATAAATTGTGCCCTTGTATTTTCAATATATTTTATAAATTGTTATACTAAAAGGTTTGTCATGAGCTTTTATTTTCAACCTATTTCATATTTGATCCACCAAAAATGTCTATTAACATCTGAAAAAAATAAAAATGTGGAACATTTTGAATGTCTACGTCAGCTCAACCACACGTAGGTACTTGGCGTTTCTATACCATAGCATTGTATTACTACCTAATTTGCCAACAATTTATTGACAATTATTGTAAACTAGCATTTACCCGGAAAATGTCTGGCCGACGAAACCGAGACCGTCACCAGCACAGGCCAACTATTTGGGTATTTCATCAGCTAAAATCGACCACACTTCCTCAACTTTTGTGTATTATTGTAAATATAACTCAAGAACTTAAATACTGAACTTTATAATACAGTTTAATGTAGGCATTACATTACCACGAAGTTGAATCTATTTACGATACAGCACGTCGCACAAGCCACTTGCCTTTTAAAATCATATTTAAAATTAAATTCTTTGTTAAACAGTTTAACAAAAAATAAATAATAATAGTTTTACAAAGTATTAAATAAAATAATTTAATTTTGTAACTTGTAAGTAATATTAAAATGAGAAAAAATAAACTTTAGTTTAGAGGGCATTTGAACTCATAAAAATACAAAATCTTCTCATTTCAATCCATAAGACACTCAGTAATATTATGTTAAAGTTTATTGAAATTTATTAACCCCAATGAAATGATACAATAATTATTTCAAAATTTTCTAAATAAAACGAACATAATGTGTACATCATACAGAATATTACAAACTACAATATTTTCTACATCTACCTATATTATATTTATACATTTTTACTTTTCTAATTAGTTCAACTACTAAAAAAATTATTGTAAAAATTTTATAAAATTTGAGATTAATTAATAAATAAATATGTAATATTATTATACAATTTATATTTAATAATTTAATATTATATTTGTATACTAATTAGTTATAAGAAGTTATAAAAACTAATACTAACACTATTAAAATATAGTACACACTTATAATAACACAGTAATTCTGAAACATTTTAATTTGAATTAATGAAAAAAAAAAATTACAATTGAAGTCAAATATTCTATAGGTACCAAAATAAAAACCATTAACAAAATGTATGATTTCAAATGTTGGTGTAATTCAATAATTATTTATATTATTAATTAATTATAGTGAGCTACCACTATTATCAACTAGGTACCAACTGCATATTTCAACTAAATTACATTTTTCTCAATAATTAATCCTCATCGTTTTTAAGTCTTTTTCTCTCTATGCACATTATATGAGACGCAATTGTGTATACACAATATACATAGACTATGTCTTGGTATATTATTAATTTATTAAATATAAAATAGGTCTTATAATTAATGTATAATGTCTACAGGTTTAATAATTAATCACATCATATGGGTAAGTACAATGAGTAATTATTAATTAATAAAGATAATTATACATACCAATATAATAGGTACCTATTTCTAAAGATAGATCGATAAATTACTTAAGTAGGTACCTATACATCATACCAATTGACTATAACTTAAAGGAAAATTAATAGTTATAAAATTAAAACTGTTTCGAAACAACACATCTTTTGTAAATTTAATTATGGCTACTATACAATTATCTTTATAATTAATTAGTAATTTGAGACTTTACCTCTATTTGTTGTTAATAAGCTGTATTATAGCCGCGTATAGCCGTATACGTATCATTACGTCATGATATATTCATGTATTATACACGTAGTATTTAAATTACAATAATATTTATTTGAAAAATTATCGACATGAAATATTATTAAATATTACTACAATACAATATAAGTAGGTAACTGAGATTGTATTTGCCAATATTATTATCAATAATTCAACAGTGATACATTCTTAATTAAATTTAATCATTTTTTCAACATTAAACAAAAATTGTTCACGTTTTAAGTATAACGATTTATTTTATACGCGGTATATTTTTATTCGTTCAAAAGACCGAGGTAGAATGATAGTAATATGATACCTTCGTCTTATTAAAGTATTATTTGTTTTTAAAACACCTAATGTGTAGGTCATACCTATTGCGGTTATAATAATATAATAGTGAATCATTTTTTTTTTAAATTTTATTTTAGGTATAGTGTGATCTCGTGTTCCTATCGATAAATGCTAATTACTGGTTTTTTAAAATTATTAACGATCAATATTCC